TATATCTGTGCGCATGTGTGTGGTTGGGTGTGTGCATGTGTGGGTGTATGTATGTCAACTTATCAATTGATTTATCCTACATAGCTTATTGTCGTATTTCTGCCATCATGAAATAACTATAGTATGTTAAATATATTATTGTACAGGGAAAGGGCTTGCTATAAGTTGTACAACTGGTGCCCAATTCCATTACTATGTAAAAATAAAAGGCAATAAAATATTTTTAAATCAAAATCAAAAAATTAATTTCCACGTAATGCTAGCCCAATCGTTGATTCCAACAGTCAGTTGTGACTTGCTTTTAACATCCAGCCACAGTATAATATCTATCCGCTATGGACTTGTGTCGAGGCGAATATGTGTTTATATAAACCTTATAATGTGATATTAACTTTTTTGGTCTATATAACTGCACACTAACCGAAATGGGTGATCTGACCCCATGTCGGGACATGCCAAAGTCCTTAAAATTCACCGCTTAACGTTCAGCATTAGGGCTAATGGCAACAGCTGGCTCACCCGTTGTCAGTTTTAACCGGGCGGAATGCTGTATTCGGTGTCTTCGGCATTTTAGTAAGGTAGTCAGCATCAGATCCGCGCTATTACAAGGAGGCAAATACACCAACATACACACATGCACGCATAAACAACACACATGGAGGCACGTCCTTAAATAACGTTAGCTGTTGATAGGATGTTAAACAATATACAACCAACCACCCAACCAACCAATTAATTGTTAATTGAATGCTATATGTCTTATAAATCCTTAACAATACGGAACGTATGAAAATTGTCAGGAGAAATGCACAGCAATAGTAAGAACGCGTCAATGTCACAAATCACCTGCATGCACGTGAGTATGATTAAACCAATGAAGAGTATTTAAACGATTACAATCTTAGAAAATAGAGAGAAAAAACAACAACATAGAAATCTGGTTTTCTAAGTTGAGTAGCGGTCTTTGCGACGTATTTATAGTTTCTTTAGGAAATTATCAGAACTGGTCTCGGAACTTTGATACTCGGAAATGGCGTGTGTTCTTGGAATTAAAGGAGATCATGTCCGCGGAAGGATAATACATTTTACGTGCATAAAGGAGGTTTTGAAAAGAGAAACATATCCAATTTTCCAACGGTACTTGAATATAACTGTGCAATGTAATAACTTATCAGGTCTCTGTTGTCCCCGATAGGGAAAGACATTGTTCCTTAATGTATGGAATGTTCAAACATTTCACAAATATTACTCAAATAAGAAAAATGCATTGCACATATTGCAAACTAAATCGATATTCTGCCGTAATAGTTACCCCCTGCAATCTTCATTAGTACTTAGTTAATACTACAAGTGTCAGACGAAGGAAGGAGAAGCCTTGATGATCAAAGAAGGGTTAATAGGTAACTGTCAATATACCACACATGTTAGCCGTGATCCTCTTACGTATGGTGTAACAAAACCATATCATAGGCCATGACATAAGATAAACCCTAATTGTTACGCATTCACCTTGACTTGCTCTTCATTGCTCGGATTCCGTAATAAACCCTACCGCGCTCTTTTTATTGGTAGCGTGAAGTATGTTGTGAGCCGTATGCTGTTGTGGTAAGATCCAATCATCACACTAGGGGATATTGTATGTAAGATACATACACTTGTGAGCCGTGTGTTGTTGTGGTAACTGTGTTAGGCAAAGCAAGTTGTGAGCCGTATGTCGGTGTGGTAAGGTGCGACCATCACCCTAGGGGATACTGTATGTAAGATACATACACTTGTGAGCCGTGCGTTGTTATGGTAAGGTGTAGCCATCACACTAGGGGATATTGTATGTAAGATACATACACTTGTGAGCCGTGTGTTGTTGTGGTAACTGTGTTAGGCAAAGCAAGTTGTGAGCCGTATGTCGGTGTGGTAAGGTGCGACCATCACATTAGGGGATACTTTATGTAAAATAAATACAGCTGTGAGCCGTGTGTTGTTATGGTAAGGTGTAGCAATCACAATAGGTGATATTGTCTGTAAGGTAAATACACTTGTGAGCCGTGTGTTGTTGTGGTAACTGTGTTAGGCAAAGCAAGTTGTGAGCCGTATGTCGGTGTGGTAAGGTGCTACCATCACCCTAGGGGATACTGTATGTAAGGTTAATACAGTTGTGAGCCGTGTGTTGTTGTGGTAAGGTGTAGCCAAAACACCACGAGAAACTATGTTAGGTAAAGACAGTTGTCATGTGTTGTTTAGGTAAGATGTATGCATCATATCATGGGAGACTGTGTTACGTGAAATCAGAAATGAGCAATGTGTTGTATAGTGTAACCATCACATCACGATACACTGTGTTGGGTAAAGACAGTTGTGAACCGTAGGCTATTGTGGTAAGAAGCAACCTTTACACTATTGGATGTTGTGTGTTAATACTTAGGTAAAGTCAGATGTGAGTCATGTCTTGTGACTGTATGAAGCCATCAAAATACAGGATAATGAGTAAAGCAGAAACAGTGGTGAGGCGCGTGTTGTCATTGCAATGTGCAACCATCACACTTGAAATACTGTATGTAGGGTAAAGTCATATATAAGCTGTATGTTGTTATGGTAAGGTGCAACCATCACACTTAGGAATACTGTATGTAAGGTAAAGTCATATATAAGCTGTATGTTGTTATGGTAAGGTACAACCATCACACCTAGGAATACTGTATGTAGGGTAAAGTCATATATAAGCTGTATGTTGTTATGGTAAGGTGCAACCATCTAACTTCAGAATACCGTATGTAGGGTAAAGTCATATATAAGCTGTATGTTATTATAGTAAGGTACAACCATCACACCCAGGAATACTGTATGTAGGGTAAAGTCATATATAAGCTGTAGTTGGTATGGTAAGGTGCAAACATCAAACTTAGGTATACTGTATGTAGGGTAAAGTTATATGTAAGCTGCATGTTATTATGGTAAGGTACAACCATCAAACTTAGGAAAACTGTATGTAGGGTAAAGTCATATATAAGCTGTATGTTATTATAGTAAGGTACAACCATCACACCTAGGAATACTGTATGTAGGGTAAAGTCATATATAAGCTGTATGTTGTTATGGTAAGGTGCAACCATCTAACTTAGGAATACCGTATGTAGAGTGAAGTCATATATAAGCTGTATGTTATTATAGTAAGGTACAACCATCACACCTAGGAATACTGTATGTAGGGTAAAGTCATATATAAGCTGTATGTTGTTATGGTAAGGTACAACTGTCACACTTAGGAATACCGTATGTAGGGTAAAGTCATATATAAGCTGTATGTTATTATGGTAAGGTACAACCATCACACTTAAGAATTTTGTATGTAGGGTAGAGTCATATATAAGCTGTTTGTTGTTATGGTAAGGTGCAACCATCTCACTTGGAATACTGTATGTAGGGTAGAGTCATATATAAGCTGTATGTTGTTATGGTAAAGTGCAACTATCACACTTAGGAATACCGTATGTAGGGTAAAGGGTCAACAGTCGCCTCATACGACAATGCAGTGGGATTTATCAGGCATATTCTTTCCCCGAATCTACATGGATTATCACATCACATTACTCGAAACTTCGTAAGCAAAGACAGTTATGAGCGGTGGGGTGCAACACTCACATCACGGACTACTTATGTAAGGTACCGTCAGCTATAAACCGTGCGATATTATGGTAAGGAGAAACCATCACACCTCAGGATATTGTCTGTACATGTAGCATGCGATCTTCTAATAGCTATGTAATGGACATGTAGATTGTTATCTTCGCATTTTCACAGAGAGGGGATCTATGTGTATATATATGTTCGTAAAGCACTGAACAACCTCATGGTAGCGTTATGATAATTATACAAAGTAAGATACACTTCTTGCAGTACATATGAAAAGGGTGAAACTTAACTGCATCTAAACGTATCCAAAATGTTTATAATTTGATTTTACCAAAGACATATCTCCCGGATGAAATAAGTAATGCCTGTCCGTCTTTCTATTAAAGAAGCATATTGATTTAGCTTGAATTGTGTAGGAGTATGCACCAAATGCTACATGGCCAATTAACGTCTTTAAAAAACAATAATGAGCGCATTTAACTAAATGATGGGATGAGGCGTGACCCTTTCGAAAACGTTTGCATTGAAATAGTTTAATCTCTGATTTTATTGCTGTCGGGAAGAACATTTCAAGTGGTAACACTCTCTAACGAGCATTTTAGAATAATGACGAACACATTTTTACGAAGCGAATGGTAAAGTGTTAAATTTCGAAGATGTTTCCGGTGACTGAAATGCCGTGAGAGATCGGAATGCATTTACAATATATGTTTATATTATAATTGTGTTTATTTTGGTCTAGAATCAAATAATGCTGTGCAACAGCCATATGTACCGGGATTCAAAGACGATTGCATCTCCGGTGCAAATGACTAAATCGTTGTAAAAAAAAACGTTGGTACTCATCTTATTTCTGTATACCCTGTTGATATACGTGTTATGTTTAACGTTGTGGCATTCCTTTCCCAACTCACCACTTACCACATGTAATTGTTCGCAAGGGGAACTCTCACTGAAAGTCTATTTTACCAATAATTTCACTCCTCTTTTTTATTGTTGAATAAAATTGATGTACTGGCGCTATTCATGTTTCTGTCAACAGCTTGGTATGCTCGTTTTATCGTTATAGACGGAGCAGCAACAGGGATAATCAGTGCGTGTCAAAATGACGCACAAATTACAAAACTAGATTCGAAGATTTGATAAAATCGATCCAGGATGTCACCGGTTTTTTTTTCTTCTTAGATATTGTGTCATTTTTGACGGAAATATCACTTAATATGACAATCGGTCGGCCGGTTGGAACCATGACAATCAAGCTAACATCTTTTATTTTACGGCACGCTCACATTCCCCGTACGTTAATGATGCCCATGTGTCAGCGTTGTTATGAAAATAATGCCACACTGTTTAAATGTCGTTAAGATACTTACCGTTCTTACGTAATGGAAGACTGGTAAAGCGTGGCTGTGATTCAGATGTTAGAGCAGTCAAGCGTTGTGGTGAATCAGAGGTGAGATTATTAATTGCTTTGTTCTACTATATTTGGACAAAACCACTGTCTATGACTCAGACAACATAAACAGGGCATTTCAAAAACAATTACTTTTATTCGTATATCACCTAGTTTGAAAACGCATGCGCGACACGTTCTATGATTGCAGAGCAAGGCTATCATGGTATTACAATACAATTGTCGGTGATGCAACGATGGAAAGGATTGGTCCATCATTTACATGAACCATATTACTAAAACCTGATTGCACATGTTTGGTGCATTTCTGTGTTATCTGCACATGTTTGGTGCATTTTCGTGTTATCTAATAAGTCTTGTTCTCAGATGGTCTGAAAACAGTTCTAAGTAATCATTGCAACTTTTATTGCTACCTTAAGACATACATGGTAGTAGACGACCGGGTAACTTAACAAGACTACGTGTACTTTGCATATTTTCCCGTCAACTCAATCAGAGGATCTAGCCGATTTGTGTGTTATCTTTACCGAGAGAAACGCGATAAGCATAAAGCGGTTATATAATGATATTCTAATATTATGAAAGAAGATGTACCCATTTAACCCAGTTTCTGGTGTTGCTTTTCTATAAATATTGGTTTTGGTCGCGCAAAAATGAAAGTAACATAAAAGTAAGGTAGTGTGCCCAGTAAATTCATTTGCACGAGGGTAACTTATTTTAAACCGAGATTTAATGATGAAATCAAGGTAACGTGGCGGTCGTTTGTCGGGTTTTAATATGTTTAACGACAGAAAAACGTACCAATGAGCAAGGATTTTTCTCTACATAATGACGATATGTGGTCTGATAAAACAGAACTATATCGATGACATTTAATTTGAACATATTTGTGGCAGAAATATTTCCTTAGTGTGTACCCACTGATATGGCAAGTCACGTAATTGGACAACATTGGTAGTATAAAGTGTATTTGGTATTGCATAGTACTGAGTTTTGAAGGGTTTTTGGGTATTGAATGGTGATGGATTTTGAAAGGTATATAGTACTGGGTATCGGAGGGTACATGGTACTTGATTTTGAAGGGTACATGCTATGGAAGGGTGCTTGGTCTTGAAAGATACTTGGTATTGGAAGGTACCGGGTATTATAGGGTACTGGGTATTGAAGGGCACCTGGTATTGAAGATAACTAGATATTGAAGGGTATTTGATATTGAAGGGTACTGGGTATTAAAGGCACGGGATATTGAATATTATTTGGTATTGAAAGTTACCGGATATTGACGTTTCAATACTCGAAGCAACGATATAAAATCTGAAGTTTTCAAAATATATTAATCTCTTTGAACGTCAATATACTCGCATGAGTCGTTACTTATACGACATCCCTGTGCATATTCAGGGAAAGAGTTGTTCTGCTATAGTGCATGTCGTAGGAGACGATACTTGTGTGGCTCACTGAACACATTGAGGGTTTCCTTCGGTGTCTTATACTAAGAGGACATTGCGTTGTCTTGGCGACTCTTTCATTTAAGTGGGCATCCTTAGACACCCGTCTATGTGTGGCTTTAGCTGTCACTAGGACGTACACCACAAAACATACCCAATTCTATCTGACATTCACGTATAACCATTTATTGTAATTTTGTTGCATATTCTTAAATGTTTTAGCGATTGTGTAATATATATACCCGGATATTGGGGATCATTAAGAATATGAAGTGTATAAGCACGACGTCACTATCATGTAGAACGTTTGCAACGTTAAAACGCATTTTCTCCGAATACAAAACGATAGTCATTAACTTCAAAAGATTCATAAACAAACGTCACATGGACGTTGCAGTGCATTTACACATCGCTGACAAATCAAACTACGTAAAAACTGTTGATGAGGAGACGGCAATGTTCCTCAGTCTCTCCGCAACGATGTTTTTTTTGCGCGAACATACGTGTTTCGCTAAATATAATCATATTCGTTCCAGTGCACAAAGGGCGTTAATGAATGAGGAAACTAGACCTAGCATAAGAGACATGCTATGTGAATGAGTAGCGGGTGATGATGTGAATGCTGTTGTCATAATAGGACAATGCATTACTGCCTTCATTCATGTAATTCGCCGCGTGAACATGTTCTTGCTAAGTCTTCTTAATGCACTAACCCAGTGATTAACACGAGATAAGACCGACATCGTACACCGGTGCTAAAAGTGTTCCGTAGTTTGACGTGAACTAGTCTGATATGTTTACGGTGCCGGTGGCTTGGATGAAGGAGAATCAGCCCGAAAGCCGTCAATTCATGCAATGCAGTTTGTAGTCGTCTTGTTTGTACGAAAAGTGCTTGTTCACTCTGACGTTATCTACTGTTAGTAACAGGTCAAGTTTCAGGAATGATAGAAATGTTGCAGAAATGAAGTTTACATAGAATAATTCCTTGTTTCTTCATACACTCATGGCCGAAATTCTATGAAAATGCTTAAACTGAAGAAAAACTATGATAAAGTAAAGAAAGAAAATATTTCACGAAAATTATTTCCTCAACACTAGCCGGGAAAATTCTCATGGAAAGAAGGCAGTTTATTCCTTTCGCTACATAATATTCGTCAAAATGGGGCCAGCTATATTTAAATAAGCTTGGTTGAATACTTTGATAGAAAATGAACAAAAATAGGATAAAAATTCCATTAACATTAGCACAAAACGACAAAATACAAACGCAAAGACCACACAAAAACACACCAGGAACCAAACGGAAATAACAAACGAAAGATATCACTTTTTCCAAGATAGAACCAAGGCTGAAACCTTGTTGTTAAGAATATAATACGCATACCCTGTAGTATCTGTCATGATATATCCTGTTATCAATTTCACTGTTGAAAAGAACGTTTTAAAAAGGCTTTACATTGACATCGAAACGGTTGCAAAAGAGAGCGCGAGAATACCGAAGCATGAACAAAACCTCAACTCGATAAGATCAGGGCAAAGGTGAAGAATGGATTGGTTTATACGTTGATTACCTTGAGAAAGTAGAATGAAAAAAGGACCTGGTGTTCTGGAAGGATAAACGTCGTCCGTTTCATCGACATTATCCGCCATGAAAATCTAGATCACATTCAAATAACGTGATTAAAGTCATACATGTACTCGGGTCAGTAACAACGCAGCAGTGTACGCTTCAAAATGAACAAAAACATGGAGATTCATGTAAAACAGGGAAATATGACATCAGATATATAGATATACAGATCGTAATGGCTATTAGAATTTTGCCCATATTCCTAATTAACTTGGTTGATTTGTGTTTGAGCGGTGCTAAAGGTATATCTAATATATTTATGACATAGTGGCATGAATATTGTCACTGCCCATTTGACCAAAAATGATACGCTTTTCAAAGCAAAACGTTGGCATTTGCATTCAGGCGATATTACTTAGCTGTATACGTTTATTATTTATTTTTAATGGAAATCAACGCTTAGCTATTAGTCTAATCTGAAATGATAAAGTATAACATGGTTTTGAACGTCAGTTCTGTATGAAAGGTGAATTCCACTGTTGTTCAAAGCCGGCTTGCTTTAAAAGTTTCCATTTTCAAGGCAATGACGGTGTTAAATCTGTGTCCTGAATCATCGAGCTTTCCACTATTCCACAGAGACAAAATTATCACACCGTATCGCCTTCCCTAGCTTAGTCATTAAACAAGATAACCCATTGTTCTGATTTGTAAAATGCATGTCATGGTGAATTGGTCATGCTCGATTTTTAAACAATTACAATGCACGTGCATGGAAATAAAAATGATTTATTACAGAATCAAACACAAAATTATAAAGACATTCAATATTGGAGATTCACTGAATCATAATCAACACTTATGGGTATCGATGGCGGAAAATCAAATTAGATTTCAATCATACACAATGTTTGTAAAAACCAATATTAAGGTGTCTTATAAACTTTCAAGATACAATTTGGACCTAAACAATCAGCTATCTCGTTTTTTCAGTTTAACATTCACAAAACCGTTCAAGATGACAGCAGACAATTTCTACAGTATGTATACTGTGGCCACATGACAACAAGTTACGAAATCGAAAAATGATTTTTTACGTACCTGCTTTTTCCGAGAAACTGACTAATTCACGTATATACGATGTTTCCTTTTTCTGATGTTGTTTCTTCTTTTTATCTGACTTTGGCGTTGTGTTCGAATTCCGTGTTAACGAAGGGGTATCAAACGGTGTTTTTACGTCTCCTTTTTCGTTCGTAGATAAACCCAGGTTTTTAATAATTAGATTCTTTAGTCTTCGTATATGGATCATTTCATTTAACTTAATTTGAAAACCCTTTCTGTGACCACAATTTCTCGTACAGTTGGAACGAGTTTCGGGCGAATACTGCATATCTCGTCCTTTCCGGTTGAACACATTTCTCCCATTGAAATCTCTAGGAACTGGTGAATTTGCACGTTTAAACCGGTAATTATTGGTCATGTGATCACCTGACTGACCAATAGAAAGTCCAGCTACTGTATTGACCAAAAGACATATTGTCAGAAGGTGGCTTCTGACAAAAGACCTCCACAACATACCGGAAGTGGTCAATGTTCCTTCAGGGGGGACCTAAAATAAAACACAACAAAAAAGTTTATCAATGCATACACAAATACAGCTAAATGTTTGGATGGAGAGGTTGTTCTCTCTTTATATACAACCCTCGATGAAGTAATGTTCCTTTGCAGTTCAAGTTCTAAAATTTGTAGCACATTATTTTAATGAAATAGTAATTACGAAATATGTTCCTGATGTGTTTTCAACCTGACTTAATAGGAAAAGAATTATATACTGAAGTCATTGACCTCTAAAGAGTATTGAAGTTGATTTTACCACTGATGCTTGGAATTGGTCGGCATCTGAATGATTTAGCAGCAGATATGAGAGACAAGTATATATGTAATAAAAAAAAACTGCCTGGTTTATACTCTTTATTTTACCACTTCAACTTGGAATCGGCCGGCATCCGAAATATTTAGAAGCATATAGGATGACAAGTAAAAATGAAAAGTAAACCAGCTCGCTGTATACTCTTTATTTAAGAAGTAAATATGCACACCCGTTGGGAAGCTTAGCAGTTAGAGAACCCGATGACGCAGTTAAATCCAGACTAATGAATACTGCATCTCGTGCAATTGATCTAAAATGATGTAAAACCACTAATACTGTTGATATGCATTACGTCCAACTATGAAACGAGTAAGGCGCACTGTGAAACACACACAAAACCGAATCAACAGTTATCCTTTAATTTCAAATTTAAAAAAGTAGTTCTTTAGGGTAAGCGGAATTAACTAAAACATGAATGTGTGGTCTATGCTTAACAACAAAAAAAAGATTTGTCAGATTTTCAAAATCTATTAAAAGTCAAAACATGCTTTTTACTCATATAAAAAATGAACTTATATTATCGCACTACCAGTGTAGTTTTCGTAAAGTAATTTTGTGTTGCTATTTTTGGCCTGGTCCAAACATATCTTCTGTAATTGAAAGTGATTACGACAGCAAGGTAGCTTTAACCTGAAAACAAAAAGACCACATCAGAAATCACCTCTAAAACCCCTTAAAAACGAGACTATCAAAATCATTATGTATGCACTTGTTTCGGATAGATTCTAGCTGAATTGGCTTGTATGGGGTTTAACGTCGTCGCAACAGCCACGGTCATGTGCGGACGGATGCTAACGGAGACACAGCCTGAAAAACAGTGAAGATTGAAAAGAAAGATGATAGAAAAGATAGGGAACGGAAAAAAATCCTGTTTTTTTGGGGGCAGCATATCAAATATGGTCTCTTCCATGTTCCCTTCGTAGAAGTCACGGACGAAATCCCCCGATTATAGGGGGCGGGTGTGGGGGTGTGAGGGTGTGGGGGTGTGGGGGTGTGAGGGGGACATCACTCATGCGATTATGCAGTGGGATAGAGTTGGCCTATTGTTTCCCCGACCTGCATGGGTTAATATGATCAGTGGTTCTCTTCTGTGTCCTATGAAATGGGTCATGGAAATGTTTCTATACGATGTCACCGTCTGTGCTCTCAAATCTTCTTCAGTATTCAGTAGATATGATATGCATCTGGTCAGAATATTTTCATACCAATATGATCGAGTGATACCGAATCGATTATAATGATATTTAAGATGGCTTTTGAGTAGCACTATCAGCAGCGGACAACGTCTTAATGTGTATCGTGTCGATTGTAGTGGTATCGCAGTATATTAGGTCGTAGCTACAATGTTAAATGGGTTTCGGAGCGAACGAACACATCAACTATGTTGCTCCTCGCACTCGCGATTTATTCGTCTGGACAAATATTTCTATGGGAAAAAGACATGTATGTTAGACGTATATATATATGGTATATCGGATACCACTGCTATGTATGAATGGTATTTAACGGTGACTATCGTCTTATCCTTTGTTAAGATCGTATTACAACATGTGATAGGGGATTTCAAACTGACACCAATGCGAACAGTCACCACTTGAACACCAAATCATGGAATCTCAATATCAGTTGGTAACAATATTGTTTCAACGTGATAGTAAGGACAAATGAAATGAAATAAAAACAGAAAATATGCTGATATCGTGAAGGGGGCGCCGGATCAATTCTTGTTTCTTCGAAGTCCCCTATAATAAGGAAGAAAAACCATCGACTCTGCTTGGGACAACATTATCAGCCTTCTGTGATGATGAAGAGGTGTACCTCAGGATTAATACTTCTACCAGCAGAATATCAACCCAAGAATAAAATAAATGTTCATTTCATAACTAGAAATTATTTCATACTTAAAGATTTTTTGTCATCAAACAAGCTTGATTCGAACCTCTTTAAAACTAATAAGATAAGATAGAGATAAGATAGAGCGTTAATGAAAAAATCTTATCCTTTTGAAATAAAAAAAAAAGTAAAAATAATCCAAGCCATGGTAAGTTCGTGGCCTTGTAGATACCTTGAAGGAAAGTGATTCGTGCAAGCATAAACTGCTATGAGTCACGAATACTCGTGTGCCGAAGCATAATCAACTTTGCCAGATAAAGCAGTTAGTGACAGACTATCCTAAGCTTCATTGATTTCATTTAACAAAAGAAAAGAAGGTATTTAATAATTAAAATGATGGAGTCGCCAATTTATATGCATTCAATGAACCAGCTTTCGCTTTTCATTAGCAGCATGTACATGTGTACATTTAACACGCTGACTACCCCTCAACAATCTGAATTAATATAAACAGTGACATTATTATCAAAAGCAATGATACAATTTCTCCACCCAAGTGAAGAGGAAATCCATAGATAAAATTACTGTTTAATAACATGTGCAATACAGGTAGCGTTTCAATACGTCAAAATGTAAGCGGAGAGTGTCAAAAGGTAAATACAAGAATGAATATCTATCTATGTGACAATTTAGACAGTCAGTTTGTTTCTATGGGATAAAACGTCTCCGCATATAGAGAAACACCGCCTGAAACAGAATGTAAGTAAAGAAAGAAGACGGAAAAGATAGAAAACAAAAATGATCTCAAATGTTGGTTTCTTCCATGCCCCCTTCGCAGAAGACACAGAAGAAAAAACCCGATACTTCAGATGGGGGTGGGGGGNTCTATTCTTGATTTTTTCAAAGTCTTCTGAAAAGAAGACAAGGACCTACCCCCGATTTGGCAGGGCACCGCACACTAGTCGCCTCTTAGGATTATCAAGTGTGATTCAACAGACCTACTCTTTCCCCGAACGGGAACGACTTGGGGCAGTAAGGGTTTCATAAATCAGAAAAGTTAGGAAGAGAGATCGGATGGACAGCATGGCGGGACAGACTCACCTCTCTGACCCATAATGTTTTTATGAGTTTGAACAATCTGTGTATGGTGCGCATCTGAGTAAACTTACCCCTGGTTCTAGAATATATGAGAAATTATCTGATTATGTGGCACTTCCTGTACATCTTTTGGCTGATGGTTATGCAAGTCCTACATTATTGTGTGTCGGGTTATATTAATTCCTTCTGTGGCTGTGATACCAATGACCAAT